ACTGACTACAAAAGCAGTACTTTGCTACTGTTAGCCAAAGACAACTTAAAAATTTTTTTTTTTAGAAAATAGAAATATTTATACTTAAACTTATTACAAGTTTGCTAAAGCCTTATTCAACCTTTTTTTTAAAATCTTTTGTTTTATGTACAATTTATTTAACACCAAAAAAAGTATTAAAAAAGTCAAATTTTTTTGGAAGTTATTTTACACCTTTTAGTTTTGTTATACAAAAAAAAAAAAAAAAAAAAATAACAATATGATCATTAAACTATTAACTTATAATTTGATTTATTGGGAAAATAATACGATATAATGAGTGTCTGGTTTTTATAATACCACACAACTTTGTTTCCATATCAAACCTCTTAACTCCGCAAGTAAACATAAAGAAAAAACAAAATTAGTTCGTAAAGTTGAAATACATCTTTTCTTTAGGAAAATAATTTTTTTTTCTCTTTCTCAGATTTTCTTTATTGTTATAAATATCAATGTCCTTTTTAAAATAATTTACATTACGTTGCCTTGTTTTGAGAGATACAAAACTAATATTTTTGGATTTTAACCTAATAAGATGCATTTCTACATAAGATTTATAAGGTTAATAGTAAACAGAAACTTTTTTGACTTTTTTTCCCACCAACCCCCCTCACCCCCACTCATATTCCTCCTACCCTCATTTTTCATTTAAAATCAAACCAAAACTGTAAACCCTAAACGGATAAGGAGTTTATAAAAAAACTTACAGTCTTTACTAAGTTATGTCTCTAAACATTTGCGCCAACGTTCTGAAAATTTAGTGATGTAGGTTGCGGAATAGCGTTTTTTTGTGTTTTTTGTAAAATATTTAGCATACAACGTTGAAAAATTTTTTAATAAATAGTAAATTGATTTATGATGAAATGGTATTAGCAAAAGAGCTGTGCAGTTAAATCTTACAATAATCTTATATACAGTAAAATGGATAATATTACAAACCATTTACAGCACTGGCTTCTTTACAAGTTTTAGTTATACAGCTATAGTCAAATTGTTTAACTAGTCTGGAAACGCAGGTCGTTTTCTTAAAACACTTAAGTTTCTCTCTATACTAGTGCTCAGCCTACTTTTGAGTGCATCAACTTGTAAACATTGTATTTCGCTATAGATAAGTTACACATATTCTGGGATAAATATTGAAATGGCATGAACAAATTGTGATTTTTTTTGTTATTCAGTTTCAAGTTAATATTTTGGATTGCATATATATTTCGTTTTCTGAATAAAAATGATGAATAGAGCATAAAATAAAGAAATCAACTGTTGATAAATCTAGTTGAGTGACAGAGTTTGTAGTGGTATAAGTATGCTTATTCAACCACATAGCTTATATCATAAAAACATTTAAGTTATATGCTATATGAAATAATATTATAGGTGCAAACATTTCATTGACTGTATAACTTGATGGATGTGTATGGGTGTAAATGCTTTGTATTATATTCGGAGTATATTTATTAAAATGTTAGCTAATAGAACTTAATTAACTCTATATTCTATATAAAGTTTACTTAGCTGGATTAGTTGATATTTTATTTATCACTCTTTACACTATGTTGTTATCTTTTCTGGAAACAAAAAAAAATCAAGTACAATTTTATCATTCTGAATGGTTTCAACGCTAAATTAGATAATGTTGGTATCTTGAAAGATATGTGTTATACCCTTAACACAGCATATTTATCTACCTTAGAGAGAAAATTATAGCTTAATTATTATCTAAATTATAATAGAAACAATGATTTGTTTTTTAATTTTCTATCTTAGAAGGAAAAAACTTTTTACCTTTTAAGATATAATTTTTTACATTAGAAGGTAGAAGATTTTACCTTACTATGTGAATATAAGAAATTCTACCCAACGGTAAAACTTCTACCTTTTTAACAAGTGCTATACTAACAATAAATGTTGTGCAAAAATATATTTCTATTTTTTTTAATAAGTAAAAAACTTATTCAGTTTTCCAAAAAATTAGGATTTCAATAAATACTTTAAAAATAGCTAGTATATCGACGCTTCTTAAACTAAAATTTAAATGCTCGTATATACATTTTTGTTTTTATTAAGCTGTATTGCAATTTATATTATAGCAAATAAAAAATATTTTTGATGCAATAAAGATGATGCAAAAGTCTGCTACCAAATATTGCATCACTATCATGAATAACTCAAATTTAATTTAATTATAAAAAAAGTACTGTGTATTTAAAGAAGATTACAGAATTCTACTTAAAAATCACAGGGTATTAAATTAAGTTACAAAATTCTATTTCAAATCTTGATTTTAAGCTATAATTTAATATATATTTTGTTGAACGCAGAAAAGTAATATATTAAAATCTAAGGTTATCTTCAACTAAAATAAGATATTTCATTTTTTTTATCTAGTTTCAAAGTCAGCTGCAGTGTATGATGATAAACTTGACTAATATAGATGATATACTTGACTTTTACAACTGGTGTTACTGCATGAAAAATGTTTCTTTTGCTTTAGAAAGCAATCAAAATTAGCAAACTAAATTTCTTAAAAGTTGTTGCTTGTAACTTGCGATATTAATGCAAATTGAAAATTGTTGAAAAGGCATTTTAAATGATTCGTTTATGCCAAACCCACCACATTAAAATAAGAAAAGTCGTTACTGTCCTATTTAAATATTACTTACCCAACTTAAAACATATTGAAAAAAAAAGATATATCTAAGGATGGTAAGTTTATACAGTGGAACCATATTGCTTATATATTTTATGAAAACAGAAAATGTGGCCTTTGTATTTTACCTGAACTTACATTTGAGCATATAAAGTTGACAAAATATTTATTAAGAAAGTGTTAAACTTGCTGCCTAAGTAATAAGTTTTTGCTGTATTAAAAATTTTATTACATAATGGAATAGCTTAATTGAAAATTATTTCCGACACTAAAAATCACTTAGTGCTTGCAAGGGTAACCCATCATTTAATGACTTTCAATAATAACAAAATAAAAAATATTTTTAGTAGCTGGAAATGTAATATATTTAGCTACATGGGTATTATAAAGTGGTAGTAATATAGTATTAAGTCATACCAAAAAATAAAAGATGAATTTAGATTTGTTCAAAACTAAATATTTTTTATATACGTAAAATAGTAGTGTTGTCATTATTATTTTAAAATTAAAAAGACAATTATATTATTTTTATTATTCAATCTTTTATTGTTATTTTAATATAAAGTTACTACACCATAAAACTCTTAAATATACATGAAGAATTTATTGTACTACTCTAGGAACTAATTATATACCAAAAATATTTTAAAAAAATGTGTCAATGAAAATAGCTGTTTTAGTAGGTTCATATCATCTCACTTTCTATTTAACGTTCTTGTTCCAAAATAGAGGGTGTTTTTTAATTGGTGTTCTTTATATATCAATTTAGTTTGACTTTTTTGAATTTTGAAAGCTTTCAGGTTATATTTTGCAATGTACAATTCTACGAACTTGTAAAATGTTAGATGATCATGCATACTTAGGTGCAAGCAAGTACGATAAACACTGCTCATTATAAAACTTAGACAAGTTAGAATTAAAACCAATTGTAAAATTAGAGGTACCAAAAACATTCCCACTAAGTCATTATAGGATGTTTTGTTTAGTAATGTAGAGGGATACATGCTTAAATGTTATAATATCATTGATAAAAGAGGTACCAGTCAGAAAAACAAAGACAAGATTTTCTACTTCAAAACATGAAAGAATTTGTTTTTTCAGAAAATGTTTTGTAAAATCGATTCTACAAAATGTTTTCTGGAAAAAAACAATTTCTTTCATGTTTTAAAAGCATCCATGTTTTGAATGCTACTTCATGTTCTTTCATGTTTTGAAGTAGCATAAGTAGTAATTATTCAGCGTTAAAAAATTTCAGCATTTCAATCAAATGAATCAGTTACATTTTTACTAGGAACTAAGCTGTAATGATTTCTTGATTTTAAACTTTTAATGTCAACTTGTAGCAAAGTACCATTCATCTGAAGAATGCTTTACTGCAATCTTAAATAAATAATTATAAAATCTAATAGAATAAAGAATAATCTTTGCTTTCTTTTATTCGTTACTAAATGTTCATCAGTAATCTTTGTCCTTGTGTTTGACGTTGAGGTGACGAGTCACCATGTGATATACATCGTTTATTGCAAAATGAACATATAAATATTTTTTTTTCAGTTTGGTTAGGATAAATTAAAATAGATAATCTAATGTTTGAACTAAAACTGAGATCTCCCTCCATCTCAATAGCCGCTAAAACAGCATCAAAACCATTCAAATTTTCAAAGTCTGCGCTACAATAAGTCATTTTAAAAACAATTGATGCACTCTCAGTTCGGTCACACCTTAAAGCTCAAGTTATTTTACAAAATCTGTAGAAAACGGCCCGCGTTTCCAAACTAGTTAAATACTATGACTATGATGCAACTAAGCAGCTTAAGAATTATACAATCTTCTAACTATAACTAATGAGAACGCGTAAAAATAACTCAATTAGTCTTGAGAGTTTTTGCTAATAACATTTTTTGAACAAATGGTTAGACTGAGATAAAAAGTACTGGTTTGTGGAGTTTTTTAATATTATATGTACTGTATATTTTTAATTTTAAAATTATTCTATATACTCTATACTTTTTTATATTATATTAAGAATAAAGTGTAATTAAGATCATAAAATATTTTAAAAAGGTTATTTAATAATAAATGTTAAATATTATTAATGAATAATAAATATTAGGCCAATCCTGCTTTTTAATACAAAGTTTAGATTCATTAGTTTTCATATCCATTATTTAAATTAAAAAACTCTTTAAAAAATTTAGATTATTGTTTAAAGTGACTGCTTTAAATATATTTTAAAGCAAGCAATGGAATCCAATAAATGAAAAATATTAATAATATATATGTGTAATATAATATGTTTAAATATTCTCACATTTGTATCATTTGTTAAATCTGTTATTAATACTTGCCATTGTTCGTCGTTTAAACTATTTAACGAGTTCGCAAATGATGACATTAATTGACACAATTGCTGATTATCATTAAAGTTGGCAAAAACACAGGTTGGGCTTCTGACGCAATAAATGCCGCAATCTTTAACATCGTTTGCAGAGTATGTTGACTCAATAACTCCAATATAGTATTTGTTTTGTATTAAATTAAAACTTGTATACGATAAACATGGCAACCTCAAAATAGACAAAGTGATGTCAGCAAAAAATATCTTCAAAACGTAAAACCTATGAAAGTATACGTATATATATATATATATATATATATATATATATATATATATATATATATATATATATATATATATATATATATATATATGTTAATATATATATATATATATATATATATATATATATATATATATATATATATATATATATATATATATATATATATATATATATATATATATATATATATATATATATATATATATATATATATATATATAGGTACCCTCGTATGCGTCCGTTTTTTTATTTTGACATCGCTTTATAAAGTTTCTGGATTTCCGTGTTTTTAAAAAATACGCTATATGCATAAAGGAAAGAGTGTTTAAAAGCTAGCTAAAAAATGAACTGTAAATTTTTATTATATTTTTTCGTTTAAAGTGAAGGTTAAACTTGTTTATAGTTATACAATTTTTAAAAAATTGCGATTTTTTCACTGTTTAGGAATCCTGCCAAAATAGGTAATTTTCATATAATGAATTTAATATACCAATACAAATGCTCATAAATGATTTTGACATGCTCAAATAAATTCTTCATAGATCTTTCATTTGATATATAATAACCGATACATTAAAATCTCCTTCATGTTTAAAAAAGATGCATACAGTTGCTACCGCAAAATAATGTATTGTTTATAGCGCCATTTTTTAAAATTATTTTCATTGTTGCTTTGTATTTTTCTTTACTTTAGATGGACCACAAGACTGCAAAAGATATTTGCGTTTTAATTAATTCATATAAATGCCAATCGAAGCCTTTGTTAAATGGTGACATTTACAAAAATTTTTCTGAAAATAATTTCAAATTATCAAAAACTTGTCTGAAATTAAAAAAACTGAACATTGGACCTCAAAATGCATCTGATTTTAAAATATTCTCCAACAATATAAGATACTTGCATAAAAAGATAAAAATCTTTAAAAAAAACCCTACCCAGTCATGGGCTGCTATTGTTAATTTTTTGCAGCAACCATTTAAATATGAAAGAAAAAGAAATAGTTCTAATACAAATATTCACTTAAACGTTGCAAGTGATTTAAATATTGCTTCAGACACAATGCAGAGAGTAAAGTGTGGTTCATGCAAAATAAAAAAAGATGAAATACGTAGTTTACAAGAAAAAAACAGAAAATTGCAGCAGAGAGTTCGTTTTTTGAAAAAATCAATGACCTGTAACAAGCTTACAAACAAAAAATTTAAAATACAGTATTTTTCACTAAATTTGTGGAAATTGAAATATTCAGAAGAAAAAAAAAAAAAAAACAGTTCAACAAAATAAGTTTCATTCTCTAGATTTCATTAATGAATTGAGAATTCTTAAAATTAGTAGAACGAAGTTGCAACAAAATGTTAAAAAGATAGAAAAGAAACACAAAATTGCGATCAAAGAATTACAGAAACAGATAAAAATCAAAGAGCAAGAAAATAAACAACTGGTAGAACAAAATCATTATTTAACTAGTATTGTTTTAGAAAAAAAAAAAGATAATAGGTTACTTATAGAAACCAAAAAATTAAAAACATATGACCTACCCATAAGAAAATGTGTTTATGCTGCTATTACTAACAATGTGCCAATGTGTCTCATTTTTGTTAGAAAAAATTTCTGAACTGTTACACAACACAGAACTGCAAGAAACACCTCACTCATCCACAGTAAATCGAATAGCATATGAGCCAGGTGTTTTAGCATTGGTTCAGGCTGGTGAGGCACTTTTTCATTGTGAAAGTGCAACAGTAGTGTTTGATGCAACCACCGTTTTAGACAAACATGTAAATGAGTTCCTTATCAGTACCTATCCTCCGCAGAGATGTTATTCCTTATCAACCGCTAAACTTGCTGGAGGCACAGGATTTGACTGTGCCACTTATATTGTCAGTGTAATAAAAGAACTTGCCAATACATTTGCAGAGTTTAAAAATATGCCAGCAGTAGAAGTTTTAGATGTTTTCACTCAAAAAATCAAAAGTTGTCTGTCAGACAGAGCACCTGTTAATAGTTGTATGAAAAACATGCTTCAGGAGGAGATGGACATTCAATTAATGCAACTGTACTGCAATGTTCATCCATTGGAAACTATTGCCTTAAAAGCATTATTAGCTCTTAAAACAATAGATAATGAGTTGAATATAAAACCAGCTAAAGGAACTGATGGGGTTGCAGTAACAGTCCTCAAAAGTATTTCTAAGCTAAGGTAATCTTTTATATGTATATCTTTCATTATTTAAATTTTTTTTTAGTTTTATTTTCTTGTGAGCAATTATTTCTTTATTATTTCCACGTTTTGAAAATTTGAAATTTTAATTTTTTTGCTCTTTAAAAATCAGGTATAGTTATAAAGGCGATCCTGCAGCATTCAAAAGCTATCTTAAAAAAAACAATGTTGCTCCAGGGCTATTCCTTAGATATGTTGGTAGTAGATTTCATGTTTTGTTCCATATGGCAGGGATTGTTGTTACATACGAAAGACTTTTAAAAACCTTTCTTGAAAAGTAAGTTTTTTTTAGATGAATATTTATTTTAATAGAATTCTATGTATTAACATTTTCTCGTTATTCTAGCAACACCAAAAATAAAATTTGCCAACTCTTACTTCAAGATATGAGTAATGATATAACGCTTGTGCAACTGCAAGGGTTGGGCCTGATAGGAAAAATAATAACTGGGCCATGGATGAGTCTGGCTTATAAAAATGCAACAGGAAAGAGTAATCTTGAGTTTGTAAGTTTTTAAGGTTTTCTAATAAACAAATAGAGTAGTTTAAAAAATGTACAAAAATTATTTTTTTATCAGGGTGACATTTTTCAGAAAGCAATAAGGAAATTAGCTTACTTCAAAAGTAATCCAGAATCAATTCTTTATACAGATGTGGATATTTTTAGTCAAGTATTAAATATCAAAAAAGATAAGGTACACCAATCCCTTCGTGTAATAAAAAATAAAAATATTTTGGTAAAGATTTTATCAGCTTTGATAAGCTACACAGAGACAGTTCTCAAAAGACAGATGGCCAGGTATTTGACTGGCAATCTCTCAAATCCATCTAAAGAAATGATAAAAACCACACTATCTGCTCCACCTCATACAATGGAGGCTGAAAGGATCTTGGGCATGCTTGATTTTTTTTTTGCGTCGTGCTCCTAATGCTACTTTTGGTTTTCTGGATTCTAAAATAAAAGCTAGGGTAAACAAAACATTAACATGGCTTGATGAGAAAACATTGACAGAACAAGAAGATCTTATTCAATTTGTAATTCGCAGAGGAGCCTTAACGTGTCAAGCCTCTAAAAATTTTAATAATCTTTGTATGAAGAAATAGGAAAAAGATGCGCCAAAGCTAATTTAAAAAAAGAGCGTCTGGAAAGAAAGCAACTAGAGAAGGATATTAAAAGAGCAATAGCTGAAAATGCCAAAACCACAAATCCTCTTTTTGTTAATATTGATGAAAAACAAAAACGAATTTTAGGAGTAATTTTGAAAAATGGAAACTTGATAGGGCAGCTCTTAAGCCATAAATGGGAGCTAGATGATGGTAATATACATTTATTTTTTGGTAGAATTGTTGATCAAAAGGTAGTTACAAAAAAAAAATCTATTACATACACAATAGGATATTGGAAAGTCAATGAAGATGAAGCTGAAGATATTGACATAAGCCAGGAAGGAGTTATAGCAGATCTAATACTTAAAGACTTGGAGTTCATTTAAAAATTACTATAATATATTAGGCATTATTATCTTTTATTTTGTTTATGTTGATTATTTTGTATACATTTTTATTTATTCCTTTTAGTTTTTAAATATTTTTATATTAACCAAGAGCAGACACAGGGTTGTTTTACATTTCAGATACTGTACTTGACATTGTGAAAACTCTAAGTATAAGTATGTTCAATCATATGTAAAATAAGAATGATTTTCTAAAAAATTGTGGTAATTAAAGTTTAGGAACTAAACTATCTAAAAAAGATAGAACCCCCCTGTCTCAAATGTTAATTTAATGAGTAAATAAGTTTTTAAGTTTATTATCCAAAACTAAATTTAAATTCACATTTTTTAATGCTCAAAGGTTATGACCATGTGAAATAACTTAAAAAAATAACTTTAAACATATCAAGAATTATTGGGTCTGTTGATGGATTTAAATGTAGTATAAAATAATAAGTAAAAGTATTTTAATAACTTGGTCCCCTCACATTTTTATGTGGGGTACAAACTTTTTGGGGTATTTTTGTTCCCAGGCTCCAATCACCTTAATTTTTTATACAATTTTTTTTCACATTCTCATTAGATTTAAGCATGAACAAACTTAAATTTAGATTAGTTATGGTAATTTTTTTAATAAAATGACTAGAATTGAATTTGACCCCGTTTAAAATAGGCTTAAACACCCCCCCCCCTCACTTTTTTTTTTTTTTAAACTTAATTTATATAAGTGGGATATAATAAACAGTTTTTATTATATATGTGACAGTAAATTGTTAATATTTTATGAACTATGTTATAAAGTCCACTTTTTGAAGTCATTTTCTTGTGTATCTTTGTTAAGATGTCCACTTTATTTTCACTACCTTCAAAATTGAATATCTTTTTTTATAGTTGACCCCAGATAATAAACTTGGTATAAAAATTTGTCATTTAATAATCTCTATATAATAGAATTAATTTGGTTTAAAAAATAAAAGTTTAAATTTTTTATGAAGGTACCTATATATATATATATATATATATATATATATATATATATATATATATATATATATATATATATATATATATATACTCTTGCATGGAAGTCACAAAATTTTTTCCCATAAACTGTAGTTTTAAAGAGCGTGTTAATAAACCTGACAAGAAAATGTTAAAAAACTTAAATTTTTTTTTTTAAATAATAGACTGCTTGCCTAAACTAAACCCTTAGTCGATGTAGCAGCACTCCCATGCGAGTCAGGCTATTTGTCAGTCGATATAGCAGCACTCTGTTGCGAGTCAGGCTTTAAGATAGTCGATGTAGCAACACTTACGCATGTTTTAAAAATATTTTTTAATAAAACAAAAACACTACTAATTAAAACGTTATAGTCATTCTTATTGCGGTTTTTTTTAAAAACAATAAAATTTAATGTACTTCCGCATTAATGATTTTTTAAACTAAAGCAATAAAAATATAGAAAAATTAAAAGGTGCAGAAGTTGGCGCGAGTTGTTGTGACTTGATGTGATGTAAAAATAATATGCAAATTACTTAAAAGTATATATACTGGATTTATAATATATATTTATATTTTTATATAATATTTTTGACGTTTTTAAAGACTAGCTTGGCAGCCCCCTTCCCCCTGCTCGTTTTTAATTCAGCACAGCAGCCTCCTTAAGAATTAGGGCCCCTTATGCCGTTTAAACTTAATGAGCCAAACTTGTTCTACTTACATAATGTTTTATTACTTTAGAATATTTATATTTTTATGACAAATATTTAAATCAGAGTGGAAGTAAACCTTTCTACTACAATTTTTTCTTAAAGTTGTTTCAAAAAATGAATTAGAATTCCGAATTGTTGAGAGCTTCAATCTCGGCCCATAGACTCTCCCAAACATCAATATCTTCCATAATATCAATGCTGCTGTCAAACTTGCTTCCACTGGATAGAGAAAAATCTGTTGGCTCAAAAAGTACTTGCTCATAAATGATACTAAGCTTCTCTCCTGGAGTTAGCTGTTCGGCAGTCTTCTTGTATGCTGCTTTAGTTTACAGAAACTAGTTTATCAATTTTACTCTTGACTAAAAGCATCTTTTGCAATTTCTTTTTGTTATATTTCATTTGCAATGCTTCTTGAACTGACTTTACAGCTCTCATTGCCACATCATTTACAACCGCCAAATTTTTAACAAAAGATTTAAAAAATAAGAAATCAGGGTAAAATTTCCATGCAGCAGAAGGTAACAAAAGCCGTTTGACTTGCAGCTCAATATGTTCAAGAATATCAAAAATTAGCAAAGACTCAGAACCAACATAATCTGCAAGGATAGGCGGTTCTTCGAATAAGACAAACTTTTCCTTACTTCTTATAAACCCAGTACTATTTTTCCTATCAAAATCATAGGCCTCGGGTTTAGGATATTGCAACAGCTTTTTTGCTATCTCTTCTTTTGTACTATTTAGTACAGATTTGTCTGTATTTGCGAGGGTAAACATAACTTTTGTAGGATCTAAGTACCAACTATGTTTTCCCCATCTGTAAAAAACTACTGCTGCTGCTGGTTCAATTTCCTCCAGGTGGGCCATCTGCCATATGAAAAGTTTAAAAGGTCTAAATTTTTAATAAAATATAGTAGCATATTTAAAGAAATTTATTTAATTCTAAAATAACCTGGATCGCTGAAGTGTCTAATTTTTTAGCAGTTAAAAACTTTGGAGCATAAAAGATTGAAATAAAGTTTGCCATTTTCTCTGTGATCTTTTCCGCGTTCATATTCAGAAGCTCCTTAGTCTGATTAAGAAAAAGCATGATTTTAAGGAAGTATATGCTCTTAGCCATTAACCGTACATGATGAACTGTACCAGGTTTGTGAATGTGGGTAGATTTAATTTCTGGATCCAAGAACATGAGGACCAACTCGGATAGTTCATGATAATCAGCTCTTTTTTTTGACTCTATTAGATTATATTTATTTATTATTTATATAACTCATTTATATAACTCATTTCCTTTACACCCTTAAATATAAAATTTTCAGGATCACTTGTTTGTCACATAGATACAGCCATCCAAAAATGTTTAAGAATTGTTTCTAAAACATGATATCTACATGCAAGTATCAGCATAGGTTTCCCAATATCTTTTCATAGCCTGAATGATTTATAAATATAAATAGTTCACATTTCTTTATAATTAACTTCAAATTTTAAATTACAAATTTTAATTAGCATTTAGTTTACGTTTAGCATTTGTAATAAAATTATCTGTATGTTGAACCACGAATCATTCCAGTATTGCTTGCAGAAGTATCAAAGTAAGCATTTCTTACATGATCTGCAACTTCAAACTCTGTCAGAATACTCTTGATAGCAATGAACTGATTAAGCCTTGTTCCAGATGTAACTCCTGGAGCTCCAAGCAGATGATTAATCCCCCCTGCTCTCAAAACAATGCAATATCTGTCAACTGGTTTATCTTTGTGAGCTGGTTTTAGATCCTAGAAATATTTTTATATCAAGAATTAAAAGATTAATAATTAAAAAAATTATTATATACATCAACTTTATTTATTGTCATTACATTTAGTAACCTTGATCAGCTTTCTATCAAAATATAATTGAACAATTTTATCATGTTTAATATCATTTTAAATAATAATCTTGAGATCGTCTGCATCCTTGTTAATTATGTTGAATTTTGTTCAAAATGTTGTGGTGTACGAAAGTGGCAGCATACCGGGATCACCTCCTCCTTGTGTGATAAGCTTAATAAATGTTGAAGTTATTTTATTGGTTGATATATTTATTCCTATAGCTGTTCTCATGGTTTACTTAGTATCCTTTTTAGTAAGTGTAATGGTTTGTCCATAATATCTGTTTCTTAAATTAGACGCATAGGTATTCTCTCCATCAGACTCTGAACTTGATTCAGTAAACGAAAATCCAAGAAAATTTTCAGCAATTCTGGATGTACTAGGCTCAACTACTATGATGGCAGTTTGTGAATAAGTTCTCTCACAACGTTCTTTTCTCCTCTTTTCAATTTTTAGTCTTTAAT